ATTTAAAAGGTTACTGAAAGAGGAAAATAGATTAAAATAATGGAATATGATTTTTAGATGTAAAACTATTATTAATTTATTATAATTAAAATTTACTTACATTTAACGTTTATTTTTTTCTCTAATTCTTTACTTTTTGTTTCATTCTTGTTGGTTCTGTTTGACTAAAACATTGTTTGACCCTAGGGCTGCCACAAACAATTATTTTTATAGTAGATTATTTTTTCGATTTGTCGACTAATCAGATCATACGTTAACTGAATATAAAACATACAGCTTATCGCGGTGTCAAAGCAGTTTGGAGAGAAAAACAAAGTAAAGAACAAAAAAGAAAACGATTAATCGATTATTAAATTAGTCATCATTTATTCTAATAATCGATTAGTCGTCGATTAATCGTTGCAGCCCTACACACATTAATTCAAAGCAGGAAAACATTTAAAGCAGGCAGGTTAGTGGTCCCCCCAGGACCAGAAGTGGACACAGCTGTTTTCCATATTTAATATACTCAGTCCAAGTCAAAGGCCTAGAATTCATTGAAAGAGCACCGTCACAAGACTAAAATCATCTCGTGTTGAGAAATGGATTTGAAAGCAATTTGGTAAAACCTTAAATGCCAAGATTTTAATTAAAGATGTTGAGCTTGAGGTATGCGTTAAGGACGATACTCAGCCACTACTACACTTGAGACATAGCTCACTTTGTCTAAAATTGGTTATATCTATTTTTTGTCGGTCAGTTATATTATGGTGGCTTTCTATAGGGCTGCACAATATATTSAAAATTCATTGTCATCGTGATAACAGCCTGTGCAATATTTATAATCGCAACAACGGCATAAACTGCAATAAATGGTTGGCTCAAAAGTTTGCATTTTCAAGTTTTGTCACTCAGATGGAAGTTTGAAGTATTTCACCAATCAAATATAGAGCCCTTAATGTATTTGGCCAATTGGATGGATCCCTTCATAAAACAATAATTTTGGATTGAAAATGATTTGTTGTTGTTGAGTTTTTTTGTTGTTGTTTTTGTTTTTGATGGGGTTTTTTTCTCTGAATTCAGAGCAGAAAGACATCTAAACTACATAATTATGTATTTGGTATTTGTTCATTTATCACAAATCATATTGTCATTGCAATATTATATTAATCACCAATATCGCACATCGCAGATTGTTCTAATATCGTGCAGCCGTATTTCTTGAATTTGATTGATCTGAAAATAAGTAATCAGTTGTAGATATGAACCCAGTGATTACTTGTAAAAAATTTTCAGTGATTAGGTATTTTGCTAACAGTACTGAATGAAAAAGTATTTTGTTTAACACTGATTCTTAAATGCGCTACACACTGTTGTTGTTCATTAAGATGTTTGAACTATTTTTGATAATAAAATGTGTAGTTATGTATTGCGATTAAGCTCCGATTAAACAGTAGCGTGTGACTCTTTATGGGTCATCTCAGTACAGGCCGTACTTTTTAAGGAACAGATTAGTCAAAACACGCCTTACACTAACACAACAGACAAAGAAGTGGTTATTTCATCAGATTTCAGAACTCGTGTTAAGTCCAAACTTCTCTTATTTTCAAAACTGGAAAATATTAAAAGAAATCAGGCCTGGCTTAGCATAATTGCTGTTTTTACAGCAGGTTCCTGTTCTGCAGAACATRAAAAACACACAGATATCAAACATCACATCACATTAATATACACTATAGGCACACACATATACTAAATTACAAAATAGAAAAAAGCAGTGTTTTACACTTTAGATGCCTAACTGTGAGTGCAAAAGAAAGTGTCCAACAGGTAATGAGCATGAGTCRTCTTTAAAAGTTGCTGTGTTGATATGGGTTTTATATTTTGTGGAATCTCATTCCATGCTTTAGTAAAAACATAGAAAAATGATATATGGCCGAAACACTTTTTAAAGGCTGGTAGTGGAAAGTGTCCACTTGTAACAAACCGAGTTGAGCGACCATTTCCAATATTGGTTTAGGCGTCAGAACAGGAAAAGCTACATACTTGGCACCATTAATCCAAAAATACAATTTAATATTACTGTATAAAACATCATTTTGAAAAGTTAAAGGATTTGAAGAAGAAAGAACAGTGATAAGTCAAGCCAAGATGTTTATGAATTTTGTAGGCCCTATTGTAGAGCCTAGATATGGGTTCCTATATTCCATTAGTATTAAGAGACCAGACAGACAGTACAACATGGTTGAAAGTAGGAATGCACAGATAAGAATATTTCAGCCAATATCGATATCCGATGTTGTTGTTGTTGTTTTTGTTGTTGTTGAGGCCAATAACCGAAATTCACCGATATTACACAAACACACAAATTATTTATATACATATACGCACAAACACACTTGTGTTTATTTTTTAATACCGTAAAAAAATGACCAGACCACTGACATGGCTCTCTACTTCAGTTATTCCTGACTGCGCAACCTCACTGATTACCATGACTGAACATATACTGTACCACTTGACCAACCACTTCTCCTCCTACAACAGAAGCACAAAGCTTAAAAGGAAATCAATATTTGACTGTCTTATATCGACCCAGTTTGAAAAAAAAAAAAGACCAACATCGGCTGATACCGATGTTAATGCCGATTATATCATGCAYCCCTAGTTGAAAATATGAAAGTATGAAAATAATTCCCAGGTATTTCTGAGTAGTGACAATAGAAACTACATGGCAGGAGGGGCCTTGCAAATCAGTGAAGTCTCTTGTCCCAGAGGGAGTGGTTTGGTTAGGAGATTGTGTGTAAAAAGTTTTTTTTATTTCCTGGTTTTTGGCCAAATGCCTCAAGACTAATACAGGTCAGTATTTGGTCCAGTGGAAAGGGGGTGTATGGCCTTATTTATTTGCATCTAAACATTTAAGTCTAAAATCTGAATTTGTCWCTCGGTTTGTTCTTGCGTACTCAGTAAATAACATGTTTTCTTACGGTACAATCACAGATGTGGGCAAGAACATTATTGCCCTTTTGCCTTCAGCAGCAGGGAATTAAAAACACAAACAGATGACACTTAACACAAGTCTTAAAAAATCCAAATAATTTTTAATTTGTTGCAGTTTTTAAAACAAGTCACTCAGATTTTAATAAATGATTGAATGACCAAAAAAAAAGACTGATCTTTTTTCTAGTAAATTAATTCAGTGTATTTTTGCCTTGTTTCAGTCCATCTGATGTGGGCCCTTACGTCCTCTACGTCGGTCGCTACCAGCTGAATGGGTATAACCCTCACGAGTCGTCATACACTGTGAAACGGGTTGAGGTCCCACCGAATTACATAGAACCTCACAGTGGGAGAGATGTGGCTCTGGTGCAGCTGTCCAGTCCAGTGACCTGGTCTAACTTTGTTCGTCCCATCTGCTTGCCTGCATCCAGCACATTGTTCCCAGCTGATATGCCGTGCTACGTCACGGGCTGGGGGAACGTCCGGGAAAATGGTAAAACTTGACAAACCTTTCAAGATTTTTTGTTGTTTAAATATTACATAATGTCAAAGAAAAACTTTACCAGTTTTATTCAACGTGTAGGTCCTTTATAAAAACATTGTTAAAGTTTGAATGATTTACATTATGATTGGCGTAAACAGAAAAAMKGTTCTAACGCAGCATRTTTCTRTATATGTGTATATATATATWTTTTATTTGTTCACGTCTCCTTCAGTCCCTCTGCCAGGGGCTGGGACTCTACAGGAAGTGCAGGTGCCAATCATCGCCCAGAGTTCATGTCAGCAGATGTACCAAACAGACCCGACGGAGCAGGTAGACATTCTTGATGACATGATCTGTGCTGGATACCAACAGGGCGGCAAAGACTCCTGCCAGGTACGATTGGATCATCTGCTGTGTTTGCTGCTGCTTTTATTCACAGATCTGTTTCTGCACTCAGGCATCATCTAGTCCAGAGCTCTGCAACTTTTACAATCAAAACGGCCATTTCTGCCTCAAAAATACATCCTCTCCAAAGCCACTATAAATAGACTTTAAAGACTGGAATAAGCATAAATGTTGGAAAAATGCAACTAATTAATTTTTATAGAAGTACAACATATAGAAAACTGCTTTCTTACTTTATTCATAGAACTAAAATCAAGACATTTTTAGTGTTTGTAGGACAAATAAAAACAAAACTCTTGTGAAGAGGGGGAAAACATTTTGTCCAGTCCACCTTTGATCAAATATAACCACTAAGTTCTGAAGGTGTATGTGTACAAAAATAGGAAATGATTAATATTTGCATAAATTGAGTTAACATTTAAAAAATGGACAGTTTATTAGATTTAACTATAAATCACTGAATGTATTTATGTATTTAACTTTACTGAGATTTATTTGATGAAAAACAAGTCTTTGCTTCTAAATTTTATTGTTCTCAGAATAACTTGCTGTTTTTCCAAAATGCCTAATTCCAGTGTTATGTTTGTAAAACCACATTTTTTTCTTAGCAACTTGTACGGTAAATGTATTTAAAATGTTTAAATTTCTTGTGGATTTCAGAGAAAGATCTCACTCACTTTATGGCTGAACATTAGATTGTTAAAGTGAGGAAAAACGGTTAAGAAACTATTAGGACCAACTAGTGTCCAGTTTGCTGTAATAAATACTAGATGAGAGAACTGCTGCAATTAATTTTACTAGTGTGATTCATAATGCAATAATTTCCATGTCAGTTTTGCTCAAATCTATAAAGGTTCCCTACAAAGGAACCAAAATGTCACATGGGCCCCAAAACTGCTGGTTGCAGATCCCTGATCTGATTTAGTAATTTGAGTCTAGTGGTACCTTGGAGGTGTAATCTAAACAAGTGTGTCCACATTGTCTCCTAAGGGTGATTCAGGAGGGCCTCTAGTCTGCCGGATGATAAACGGGACCTGGGTCCAGGCTGGGGTGGTGAGTTTTGGACTGGGCTGCGCGAACCAGAACAAGCCAGGCGTGTACGCCAGGCTGACCAGCTTCCCAGACTTCATCCGCTCCGTGGTACCGGAGATCCAGCTGTACGGACGGGCTCGTCAGAACTGGTGCTGGGGGGTTGGGATGTTGCTCAGCTGTCTGTCCACTCTGCTGATGATGCTTCAGAGATGAGGTGCTTTCGAAGTTTGAGGCGTACAACTGAAGGCCCTCTGAATGAAGGAGTTTAATAGAAAGTATGTTTAGTGATTTTTTTTTTTTTAAGTCAAAATCTGTCCATTTGTATCAAGAATGCACATAAAGCCAAACAAAACCTGTGATTTTTTTTTTATAGCTAAAACTACATCTGATTTTTCTGGAAGTATTTTTTTTATTTTCAACCAGAATTATGTAAAAATAAATTTGCCTTTTTGATCTTTGAATAAACTAATTTTAAAATTCAGTTCAGCCTCTGAGCATTAAGTTTTGTTTACATATGGCATAAGTTCATTAATTTAAAACCTTTTCCAATTGTCGTCGCTGATTGGAGTTCACTGTGAAGTAATTCAAACCTTTTAGAGCTTGCATTTTGTTGTAATTGATATGAAAACAACCTTGTCGAGGTTAATTTTTAAGCTMATATTATAGTAAAGATCCAGAAGCAGACTAAGTGACAAAATGTTTTATTAAACAGTATCTGCAGCATGTCACAATGGTTTTAAATTAAAAAAAGACTGCTTTGTAGTGCCCTATAAAAATATCTTTCATATTAAATTAAAACATTTCTGTTCAGGTGTTTGACAGTAAAAAAAAAAATTAAAATAAATGAATGAAAGTTGTTTTGTTGGAAAGGGTGAGTCAAGCGTCAGGGGGGATGGTATCAGAGAGGATCATGGGCGAGCCGAGCTGTAGCTCCTGCTGCAGTGACTCCAGGTCAGCTGGAGTCATGCGGTGGACCTCGCTCCAATCAGATAACAGGGAGGCCGAGAGCGGGGCTGAGTCGTAACTGGAGGAGAGACGAAAAAATGCAGAAGGAATGAGGGAAAGAAACCACTGCTGAAACTGCTGCAAGATGTGTTGATGTGTGAGCTACAGTCCATTAAAGTCAGCCTCGTTTGTCAATATTTAACAAAACCTCGCCTAAAATTAAGAGCTGCTAGAGCTTGAACAAAGGTTAAACTTGTTGTGTAAGGAGCCTGAAACWGTGTTTAGTTATATAATGGGTAGACTACGCTCAAAGTAAACTGAAGTCATTTGGTTTGCACTAAAAAATTTGAATCTTTGTTCATGTTTTATTTTTAGGAAGCCAGACTTTCCTATAATCTTTTAAAGTTGTCTTGATCAAAAATTAGTTTTTCTGAAGGTATTCCTGTTAGACTTTGGCTGCTTCTTTACTTTTTTTTTGTTAACTCTTGACCTGCGAACTGTTCAGAGCTAAACGTTTCAAAACTCCAGTAACTAACCGGTGTTGTTAACTCACAACTTAGCAAAGAACCTATTTTAAATTTGCCAGCTGTCTGTCACAAAAACACTAACATTTGTACAGTAGCCAATCAACCCAAKGATGACACACCTCTTTGGTGATGTGCCAAGACTTTGCAGGAAGAGCAATTTGATCATAAACTGTCTTGTTGCAGATAAACAAGATGTCATAAAGCAAAAAAAAAAAAAAAAAAGTTATCTAATGCAAGGATTTGTGTCAAACATAAAATACTGCTTTTGCAGGTCTAACTGAATAGCAGAAGTTACTTTTGATTTGAATCACTGCATTAAGCACTAGTAAAATCACAAATGTGGACAAAGTTATTTTACATCGAACGACTGCTAGACGCTGAGCTTTTTAGACCCTGTGGATCTGACAGAACCTGCAGATAATGCAACAATATTCTGACTAATTTATTTCAGAAAGATACAGAAATGCATGGTTTTCCACATCACAAGCTGTATTAGTGCTGACCTGTCCCGGTCACAGTGTTGCAGGTCTGTTAGGGACTGGTTGAGAAGGTCATCCAGGTCAAAGCCCACACCGTAGCCCGCCCCGCTGCCCTTCGGAGTGACTGAGAACACAGGAGGTAAAATATCCTCTACCTGACGGAGGAAAAGTGGGAACATCGGTTCAATTAAACAGAGTCCTTCAAGTCGGTTTAAGCTAAGAAAAGAATTGTGACTTTCAAGTTTTAATACACAAAACATAAMTAAAATATATATACCTGGGACTTTGAAAGCTGCTGTGTTACTTTATTGATGTCAGGGGCAATGGAGGGTCCCTGCTGACCAGTATCTGTAAATCCTAAACTGGGGTGTGGCTGCGAGGGAACCCCTAAAGTCCCACAGAGGTGATGTATGTTTTGTGTTGGTTTCTCCTCTATAGAAGGACAAAGCTTCTCCATTGGTCCCGTAGCTGCGGTCGAGTTGATGATGTTCTGGACTCTGACGTCCACAATTCTGTTCGTCTCTCTGCTGCTCAGTGCTGCAGTTTTGGACAGAAAACTTTCATGCGGGAGCAGCTGTGGCTGAAGTTTGGGGTCATATTGAGATTGATTGTTAGGTTGTTGAAGAAAGCTTGATGATGATGGCGGCGGCTGTGATGCCATGTTTGGTTGTTGCGGTGGCCTCGTCTCCAGTCGTGCGCCGCTCCAATTTGCCACACAGCTGAAGCCACTTTGAATGCTTTCCTTGGTGTGATGTTTGACTGTGTTTTTATTAACTAATCCATCAGAGACCGTCATATCTATCTCTCCACTTACAGCAACAACCATATGTGCTGGAGGCTTGTTCTGGCTCATGGAGAAAGCTAACGGGAGCTGCTGCGTTCTGGGAGGCTCAAACAACCCCGGCTGGTTCGGTTTGACTTGAGAGCTTGCCTGCTCGCGATGCTGAATCTTTGTCGCGTCTTTATCCACCGCATTGTTCAGAGCTCTGTCACCACCAGCTGCAGCTCGGAGCGAGTTCACATCAAGGTCTTGATTATTTGCTCCATCGTKATTGCCAGGCTGAGATTTCTCACCGCGGCTGTCCACCATCATGGTCCAGCGCTGCAGCAAGCTCTTGTCGTTGTCGCTCAGCAGAACCCCGCCCAGGAAGTCTCCTTGTTTTCCTTCTTTTTTCTCCTTTTCCTTCATTTTTTTCTCCTTCTCTCTCGCCCGTTCCTGCTTCTTCCTTCTTTTCTCTTCTCTTTCTCGTTGACGCTCCTGGGCTGTGACAGGCCGGCGCGACTCTGGACCAGAATATGTGGAGAACGAGACGCCTCCTGCTAGGCCAGGGTCGATGCCCAGAACCAAGGCACCTCCATTTGCAAAAAAAAAGATATAAATAAAAAAATATACATCAGATAAAAGACCAATTAGAAAAAAAAACATGAGGATGAAAGTAAATAAATGWACTTACCAGTCTTGGTTTTGTGTCTGAGAGCTGACTTCAGTAGGGCTGCTTTCAGTGCAGTTTTAGTAACTTCTGAAATTGCTCCTTCCTTTCTGGTTCCTTCTGGTGCACGTGGAGGAGGAGGCCTTCCTTTCTTAGACATGGACTGTGAGAGAGACTGAGAGAGAGACTGGGCCTGTGCTGCAGACAGAGACAGTGAAGGCACGGTGTTGGGAAGAGATGTGATGCTTTGTGCTTTTGTTGCAGGGACGGAGGTGGGATCCTGAGCCAGGCAACGGTTCTGGGTGTTCGGCACCTGAGAAGACTCGCCGTCTCTCATGGCTTCTGGAGGAGCATCCTGGCTGGACACCGGCGTCGTTAAATCGATCGTCTCTGGCTGGCCGCTGTCAGAGTTGGCGCTGGGCATGTCCACGTCAACCAGATCGCCTTCACTTTTACTGAAGAGGGACAAATTATGGGCCACATGAAGCGAGGCGACCTCTAAAAGTGTTGCAGGCTCATTAAAGGTTTTCATCTGGTTTGTGAAGGCTTGGTTCAGTTCTGCTGGTGGATCTTGTGGCGGTTGAGGTTTCACTTCTCTGATTTGCTGTATTTGTTGTGCTTGTTTAATTGGAACCATTGTTTGTCCCGTCACAGTTTCAGGCTGAGCGTTGCACTGAATACTGCTTTGTGCCGTAGCACCACTATTTCTCGCCAAAGGCCTGAACTGCAGTCTCTGACGGGAGATCTGTTTCTTTTTATGAAAGTCCTGAATTTCCATCAAAATGGCCTCTTTGATTTGTTCTTTATTCATCGGAAGCTTGTCAAACTCAAAGTCAAAAGCTGGCACACAGTTGGGCTCGTCGTCTTGGTCATGGTACTTGGCCAGGTAAGGGTGCTCCAGTGCTTCCCGCACGCTAATGCGGTCACGAGGATCAAAGCGCAACATGGCCCCCAGAAGGTCTAAAGCCCCTGGTTCGGCTTGTGGGTAGAGTTTAGCCAGAGGAACCGGGGTTCGCGATGGAAGACTCTGAACATAAGAGCGCACCCTGTCAGCCCTGATAGAACTGATCAAACCCTCAGGAGGTGTGCCCAGCACGCTCAAAATAAGCTGGAGCTGGTGGACGTAGTGCTTCCCGGGAAAAAGCTGCTTACGACCCAACATTTCCGCAAAGATGCAGCCCACRGACCACAGGTCGATGGCGAACGTGTAGTGACTCAGAGAGAGCAGGAGCTCAGGCGCACGATACCACCGGGTGGCCACATACTCAGTCATGAAGGAGTAAGTATCCTCAGGGTGCGAGCTCAAACCTCTCGCCATGCCGAAGTCACCAATTTTTAGCTCACAGTTTTCGTTCACCAGCAGGTTGGAGGGTTTGAGGTCCCGGTGGATGACGTTGGCCGAGTGCACATACTTAAGGCCACGAAGGAGCTGGTACAGAAAGTACCGCGTGTGCTCAGGGGTCAGAGTCTGTGCAGAGTGGATGATCTGGTGCAGGTCGCTCTCCATGAGGTCCAACACGACGTACCTGTTCACACAGAAGTGGAGGAGAGATAAGCGAGTAGTAGGGGTGCAACAATACAGAAAATTCACGATTCAGATACTTTAGTCTCACGGTTCTATATTTTTTCGATACAAAAAAAGAGAAATTTCCATGCCCCTTTTAAC